GCGGGATGAATTTTTCTCATATAACCACAAGAGAAATTCATCCCGCATCAGCTGTCTGCAGGACAGTCTGGCTTCTATATATGCATGAACAGGCTACGAAGGCATTACCGTATTGAGGCACTCGAATGTATGAAATTAATACTGGCAATTTTAAGAAGCAGGTAATAATCAGTTGCATATAATATAATATAATGACTAATTCGGTGAATCCATTGTGCTGTATTTAGCTAAAAAATACTGGACTGACTGGACTATACAGTGATATATGTATATGTCATTGATTTTGAAAATGATTTCAAATTTGGAGCCACTATTTCAAATAAACTGTATTTTTATAACGGTCAAATGGACAAAGTTTTTTTATATCCATATACTGTACGGAGCAATGATTATGATGCATTGTCTGACAATTGTAAACGGAAATATACACTGTATAAATAAACGTTTCACATGTACTTACATTGCAAGCCTTGCTCTTGAGCACTCTCTGTATATTTTTTCCCGTTTGTCTGAGTGTCTGACTCGTCTCTCAGAATAAGATCGAGTAATGATATCCATCTTCTCGTTGAAATTCTTCAGCGCATTCTCACTCCCGGCCCTGTACTTGTATTGGCTATTATTTTGTTCTCTAAGGAGCTTGTTTTCCCCTACGATATTTTGCAACAACAAAACATACTGGTCCAGTCATATCGAAATTACAGCTAGCAAGTATCGAACTGTGACTGTGACAGCTATAAAGGCCAGACGTTTATTGTAAAAGCAACGGGAATTGGACTTCGAACTATTGTTCACAGTAGGAATCTTTCGTAGTATCAGATTTCTTCTGTACACTAGGGAGGTCACCCACGTACAAATCAAATCCGCCTTCGTCCAAAAAGCAACGAGCAAAGTAAAAATTGGGCTTGTTAACATATAATTGAGTAATTCGCAAATTGATTCCATCCATAGTTCTTCTATAATCGTAAACGGCTTATGTTTACACCGTCAGATCGAGGTTTTATTACACAGGCTACAGGGGATCAGTTACCCGACCGGGAAAAGTTTAAAATAGCGCGCGCGGGAATATAGCATTCAAATTATACCTACATAGATCCTCGCAGCGACAGTTTAATACAACAACCTTCAATTCTGTAAAGCTTTGTGTGGTATACCTTGCGTGAAATGACGCATTTTAACCAGCATTCCCACACAGCGAGTGGCGCACTTGCTACCAGTGGAATGCGCAACCTTCTGGAAGCTATAATCCCAGTGCCTCCATAAGCTGAACAGAATTGTCAATTGTCGACCTACAAAATAGCGACGTCTCAATACCAAATTACACCGAGGAACGACGTCTTAAACGCAACAGACGTAATGAAAGTTTGTGCCGAGAAAGAGTTTGGAAATGCCAAATAAAGGCGTCTCACGAATAAAATAAAGAGTCAGATTGAGAACGAGACCAAGGCCGTATATCTCAGCTACGATCGAGGGCAGTGTATTATGACCTATTATTTTATTGGAGAAAGTGGAAATGCGAAAGATCCTTGTGTAGAACGACTAGCTGTGTGTAAGTACATGTAGAAATTGTATGTAGTTCATATACAAAATAAAGAAATTGTCTATCTGAAGCTGGATAGCTAAAAAATGATATACTCAGCTTCTGGTTTAGGTATTTTGCCTTTGGCGATAAAATTATATTTGTATATTTATATATGTCGATAGAATCAACTGTCCAAGCGAATTGCGCTGTCTATATAAGCGCCTAAATTCAGGTGATATAACGTATAACATTTCATGTTTATACTGTAATATTCAGCATAGCTAGATAATTCTGTTAAATTATCGACAGTGTGTGTCAGGTTTTGTCTTCATTTAAGATAAAACTAAACGTGATTAAATGTTATTTCTGCCTTTAGTCAACATTTAAACTGCGCAATAAAGGTAATTAAAGTATGTGCGGTTTAATGTTGGTTTTAACTCGCTTTAATATCCTCACTAAATGCAATTAAGTGTATCAGTTTCCAAAAGAGGTGTTTTATTCAGAGTAAATGCGATTAAATGTAACTTTTTATTTAACCATCTTTAGTCAGCTTATTAAAGGTGTAAACACACATTTAATATCTTTAGTATTTTTGCTAAAGCTGATTAATGACACGCTTTTCGTCCTGTGCGAGCAGACGGCGCGAAGCGCTGTGCGAGGGTACTAATTCCCCCCAGCTATTTACACCCGGGGAAACAAAAGCATTAGCGAAGTCTAAAGTTCATCAATGAGCGCGGGCGGTTGGTCACCAACGATGGGTGGTCATCCTCACTGATCTCAAAAATATGGCGGACTGTCATGAATAACGGACACTGATTGATCCAATTTAAAGTTTGCATTATAACGACTGCATGACGACAGCAAAATAGCAAACATTTCTTGATTTGATGATTGATAAATTTCTTGCAAGTATATTTCATTTTTGCTCGTATTTCTGCAAGATTTTATAAATTTCAAGAAAGAAAAGGCGAAAGAATCGGCTAAAAGAAGGGAACCGACGATAACGAAGGTAAGTTTGTTTTAAATATTGATTTTATAATGGCTTTAAAACCCGACGGCTTTTGCGTATATGAAACAACTAAACAAGACAGCATATAATTTCAGTGTATCTTTAATATTGATTCCCTTTTTTTATTATATTGAATTTTTTAAATAAAAAATAAGCAAAGTTATTTGCAAGCGAGAATTTGAAATCATTTTATTGCAAACTCAAAGTTTATCGATAAAGCCATGATAATAGCTACACAGCCAGAAACGCGCAAGTCGGAACACATCTGCAACAGATCTGTTAAATCCTGTTGTCAACAAGCCGATATCTGGATGCGTTTGCTCGCCTTGTACCTGTCTGTTCTGACAGACCTGCAACGGCCTGTCAACAGGTCTGTTACAAGCTGTTGTGACAGAGCTGCTGCAATGCTGTTTTCAACAGGTCTGTTACAAGCTGTTGTGACAGAGCTGCTGCAACACAGAATAGAAAATAGACCAGAAGTCTCACTTAGCCAAAATTATGTCCGAGATTTTTTATGCGCAGGCGCGAGCCAGCAAGTGTAATCACGACGCCATCAAACGCCATCACTAGGTAATAAAGATTGCTGTTTTAACCGTTTTGCTGACGAACGCTGACGTGATGTTCGCAGCAAGTGTCACATACGTCATCTAGCGTGCGAAATTCGTGATCCGCAAGGCGAAAATCGCGGACACGAAAATGTTAGGAAAAGATATACAGTGAGGCTTCTGGTCCATTTTCTTTTCTGTGGCTGCAATGCTGTTTTCAACAGGTCTGTTAAAAGCTGTTGTGACAGAGCTGCAGCAATGCTGTTTTCAACAACTTGCGACAGACCTGTTGCAAACCGAGGAAAGCGCCTTATGAAGCTTGTGTATCCACTATTTTGAACAAAAAAACGGCCAAACAGGTTGCCATATTTCGGTTGTAGTGTTTCGTGAAATAGAAGTTTGAAATATAAAGTTTTATAAACAAACTTGCGAGATAATTTTTATGTATGAATATAAAGTTTTATAAACAAACTTGCGAGATAATTTTTATATATGAATATAAAGTTTTATAAACAAACTTGCGAGATAATTTTTGAGCAAAACAGCCGAAAAAATATGACAAATTCAAGAAAGGTTCTTATCGTAAACAATTTTCAAAATTAATTGCCTTTAAGTACGACCGAAATATGACAACCTACTTGCATATTTTTCTTCAAAACAGTACATACCATAACACAAAGCTTCAATAAGGCGTCTTCCTCGCTCGCAGATTTCACTTGAAATTGGAAAGAAATTATATAACGAATTTCATGTTCATATCAACAATGACGAACGTTGCAGTGAACACTCGGTTGTTCATGTATTGTTCATTTCTTAAGCTCTAGATCTTTGTATTCTCATGCCACAGTTTCTTCAAAAATCAAAACAGCTTTGAACTTGTTTGATTTTGTTTGAGGCAGTTGTTGAAATTTTGTTGAAAAACAACTAAACATGATTATGTCACAGAATAGGAAGTTATACCAGAAGCGTAACTCTAGTCGTTTCCCTTATTGTTTGACGTCCACGAAAATTTTAACTCGCTCACGTCAGGCCACGCCATCCTGGCTAGTACAGCCGGAAGTTTTTATCAGGATTTGGTAGGTACAAAGTGCCGGTTGTACTAGCCAGGATGGCGTGATTGATGACGAATCGCTTGTAAAAACGCGGACAAATATTTGCTCGAGTTACGCTTCTGGTATAACTTCCTATTCTGTGATTATGTGATTGATATGTTTGTAATATTTCGCCCAATTGCAACGAGGAATGATGACGTGTGCACACGCGTTTATCCAATCAGATTAAGGAAATATAGCGATAGCACACGTCAGCAAATTGGAATTTGGATTTTGGAAATCGGAACTTTTTTAAAAAAAATAAAACAGCGGCTTTTGCATTTTATAATAATCAGAGAATAGATACTATGGACTATAATCTCTCCTATGTGATTTAATATTGCCACCAATGACAATGATTAAATGAGAAAGTGAAGCCGGAAGTGTCCATTTCGTGCGATTTTATATCTCTTTACTCACATTTTCGGTTTGTTTCCCAACAACAGGCTTGTTGAAACTTGTTGTGACAGGACAAAAATTGTTTGTTGTGGACAGGTTTGTCGCAGGTCTGATAACAAGCTTGCTGCAGACTTGACAAAAACAACTCGCGACAGGTCTGTTGGAACAAGTTGGAACAGACCTGTTGATTTCAACAGACTTGCTGCAAGTTGTTCTATCAGACCTGTTATCTCTTGTTGGTAACAGGTTTGTAGCGGGTTCCCGCAAGCCTGTTACCGCCTGACGAAACCAACAGACCTGTCGCGACTTGTCGCAAGCCGGTAAAATCAACAGCTTGCGACAGGCCTGTGAGATTTCTGGCTGTGTACATGATGGCACCTCCATTGGCTGAGAAGAAGAAGAACTTATAATGATGTCTGTAGTAGTACATTACTATCCACCTGGTAAACAGCATCAAGGAACATAAGGAAGGTCGGTGCTTGTCCTTTGTATCTCATATTTGACGTTCCTAGTTTAATACAACGTTCTCTGAACGAATGTCCTGCAGCAAGCCACTCTCGTGCTATCAAACTTTCGAATCTAAAATGAGAATAAAAGATAAGCGACTGTACCCGTGAACAACCAGTATGAGATCATTAGGGCCATTTATACGAGCGAGAATAAGTCGCGGCCTAAATAAGCCGCGGCTTAAATAAGTCGCGAACTACTCGTATAAACAGTCAATTTGCAACAAGCCGCGGCTAAAATAAGCCCAGGCTTGAAAGCTAGGCCTAAATAAGCCGCGGCTTATATAAGTCGCGAACGATTCGTATAAACAGTCAATTTGCAATAAGCCGCGGCTAAAATAAGCCCAGGCTTGAAAGCTAGGCCTAAATAAGCCGCGGCTTATATAAGTCGCGAACGATTCGTATAAACAGTCAATTTGCAATAAGCCGCGGCTAAAATAAGCCCAGGCTTGAAAGCTAGGCCTAAATAAGCCGCGGCTTATATAAGTCGCGAACGATTCGTATAAACAGTCAATTTGCAATAAGCCGCGGCTAAAATAAGCCCAGGCTTGAAAGCTAGGCCTAAATAAGCCGCGGCTTATATAAGTCGCGAACGATTCGTATAAACAGTCAATTTGCAATAAGCCGCGGCTAAAATAAGCCCAGGCTTGAAAGCTAGGCCTAAATAAGCCGCGGCTTATATAAGTCGCGAACGATTCGTATAAACAGTCAATTTGCAATAAGCCGCGGCTAAAATAAGCCCAGGCTTGAAAGCTAGGCCTAAATAAGCCGCGGCTTATATAAGTCGCGAACGATTCGTATAAACAGTCAATTTGCAATAAGCCGCGGCTAAAATAAGCCCAG